TTCTCTCCTTCTCCCTCCCTCTCTTCCCCTCCCCTCCCTTTCCAATAACATTCCCTTCATGTTAAAATTATAAATTTCTCTGACTTCAGCATCATTTGTCAAATATTCCTTTTTTAGCCCATTGCCGCCAGGTGTCACGTACGTACATACCATGGCTGTTGTGGACCAAAAGCTGGGGGCATCATGTCATGCCCATTCCCGCGCTACTAACTCATCGGACAGAGGTTGTTTTTCTCGAGTAGTAGCAACTTCATCTATATGGTAAAGATTTTAGGCAATGGCACCTAAAGTGAAGGTAAACCTTCAAAATTTTAATATTTTTATAAATTTTAGCAAAATAACTGCTTTTAGGTGCTATATGTCGCTCGCAAACTACCGATCGAGCTGGGCACAAACAGGGGAAACTGCCGGTGCGCGCCAACAAGCTCGTGCATACGTAAACTTGCCAAAATTTTTACCTGTCGGTGATGGGTTAACCATTTTTATTATCAATTTTTCTCCAATGGATTATAATACATTGACATTCCTAAACATTAACCACTACATGAAATATTGAGCGCAATAACTGTGGGTTATGTGATGACCAATGGCAGGATGGATGGACAAGAAAAGATCAATTTTTTTTTTTTTTTACCTAAATACCATAAAATATGAGGCATGGAAGACATATTCCTATAAAACTGTTTATAATCTTTAATACACAACATATATACAAGCCCATCAAGTATTCACAATGATATTTTGAAAAAAAGGGGCAGGGAAGAAGAAAGGTAAAATAACCTAAATTATTATAAGACATCAAAGAAAAAAGAATTTCAAAGGATTTTTTCATAATCCAAGAAAAAAATACAAGTACTACCTCCCTTTACTATAGGTGTTATTGAGATATTTTATTTGCATCTTAGAAATTTCATAAATTAGTTTAAATATTTGATTCATTCAGAATACAAAAGATGGAAGGTAACGTTAATAAACTCAATTTACTAGACCAAGAAATGTTTACACTTTATTAAGTTTACTGTCACAAAAAGCTATATAAATCATGTATATTCAACTATGATCTATGGAAATGGAATGTTGAGCACATAAATGTAAAACTGTTTCAATATAATATTATCTCTTTCATAACAACTCAAGAAAACAAGAGTATTATAAGGCTATTTACATAATTATACATTACTCCAGCATATTTTTATTTTGAAACACATTTTGCACTTTAACTCATGCATACGAAGACATAAATTATTACAAGCACATCTCCAATAGGAAGCTATTCTCTATTAGGCTTTAATTTCTATATCCACATTGTTGACAGACTCAATACTAATACAACTGGAAACCAAATTATATACTCCAATTACAATGTACTTTATGAAATTTGGACATGAAGTTTCCTTTTTCTTATTATTTCTCAAGGAAAAAGATATAATACATAAATCCATTTCATATGTTACAAAATGTTACACAGCTGAAACACTGGTACCCAAAACCTATGATATCAAAGTAACAATGATATCAGTGTCTATTATCTCCAAAGAAAACTTCACAACACAATATTATCTACATAATAAAATCTATTTTTTTTAATGATTATACCCCAATTATCACTTTGTGCAATAATAACACATATGATATATTGACAATAAAAAAATTTCAAGAATCTAAAACAGCAAATCTTCGTCATTATCATCAACGATCATGTTTCTTCCCTCTTCCTCCTTTAGTTTTCCTGCTGCCTTCAAAGCCTCTTTCTCCTTCTCTGCCTTGTCTCTCGCCTGTTTTTTCTTCTCCTGGATCTTTTTGAGGCGGTAGAACTCCTCTCTCTCCAGTTCATCAAGCTCAGAGATGATGTAGGCAAGGGTACGTTCATAGCGAGGAATGATGACTGAAAGGATATAAAATAATACTGATAAGAAATTACTATATGAGAAATTAGCCATCTAGAATGAACCCTTTGATGCCAGAAGGGTATATACACAAGCAGTGTCTGCTGCACTTCTGTTATATTAATTTAAATGCTGCCGGGAAGGCTCGTACGTAAATGTCATACCCACTGTGAGTTTAGTTTACTAATTTTCTTTACACATGGATAGCTTTGCAAGTTCTTGGTCACCAAGTTGTCAATTAATAGTAAAACCTATCTCACCTGCTTACCTGTTTCCTTGATTTTTGGAAATAATATATTTAACTTATATTGCTATTAGTAATGTTAATAACTACGATAATTACAAATTCTATGATGATAATAGCAGCATCAATATTGATAGCTTTAGTAAAACACATTTTTCCCAAGATCTCAAGGAAACGGGAAATAAGGTGAGGTCACAAGGTCAACTAACTGACAACTTGGTGGCTGAGCACTTGTTGAGCCATCTATGTGAAAAGACATTTCATAAAATAAAACTACAATGAGCATAACATTTTCTTAGCAGCATTAGGTTCAAAATGTTTACACTTAGGTATACCTGACTTTACCTAGTTTACCCAATTCTTAAGTTTT